GGAGACGCACGGAGCAGGGAAGGGCCCCGGGCTGGGCTGGGCTGGGGGAGGCAGGGCGGGCTGCCCTCGGGCCTGTGGGGTGACCTGGCGGCCTGGGCTCCTGTGAGAGGGAAACGGGGGGAGTGGGGGGGTGGGGAGACGGGCCGCTGAGATTAGTCGGGCGGTCAGGAGGCGGGCGGGCACCCTCGTGGGAAGAGGGGCAGAGGCGTCTTAGCTGGAGGTGCCAGGCTTCCCCCCAGCCCACCGCCTGCTGGAACGCAGGCCTAGCCCCGGGCCCTGAACCCAGCCCTTCTCCTCCGTCGGATCGTGTCGCCCTCATACCAACCATCACACCCGTTTTACAGATGGAAACCGAGTCTAGAGTGAAGTGTCTTGTCTAAGGTCACATAGGAAGTGAGGAAGCAGAGAAGATTGTGGCGCCTTCTGCCCCTGACAAGAGGCCCAAATTCCCATGGGCAGGCGAGGCCTTACCAGCTTCCTGCAGACTCACAGGCTTATCTGCATTCTTAGGGGCCAGGCCGACTCTCCAGCTGCTGGGTCAGGTGCCACCGGCTTCCTGGAGGCGGCACTCTGCACAAGTGCCACGCCCAAATCCCAGTCTATGAGGGGCGAAGAGAGTTCGGAAAGGACCATGTGGAGGGCTCCCAACCAGGCACAGAGGGCACCGGGCATCCCAAGTCCTCCCTGCCCAACGGGGGCACCTCAGAAGCCGGTTACCCCCCGCCCCCTGAGCTGCAGCCCCCCACAAACTGCTGCATGAGCGGCTGCCCCAACTGCGTGTGGGTGGATTATGCGGAGGCACTGCTGCAGCACTACCAGGACGGCGGGGAGCGGGCCCTGGCTGCCCTGGAGGAGCATGTGACCGATGAGAACCTCAAGGCCTTCCTCAGGATGGAGATCCAGCTCCGCATGAGGAGTGGAGGCTGAGCTGGCCTGACCGGACACGCTCACCCCATGGGCTCCAGCCCGGAGCTCCCACCCAGGCAGCAGCACAGCCTCCTCTATTTGTGGCCCCTTTGTGGGGCTTGTGTCAGGTGGGAATTGGAAGAATTATTTATTGACTTTCCCTGAAAATAAATAAGCTCTCTGTGCTGGTGAGACGAGGCTTCTGTGCTGTTGTCTGAAAGGCTTGTGTGGCCTCGTCAAAAAGCAGGTGTCATCAGGCGTTCAGCGAGCATGTACAGCCTTCACCAGCGTGTGAGGGTGAGATAAGACTTGTTTCCCTGAATGTTCAAGTGGCAATGATCCCGGGGCACCCTTCCATATCCTAGCATCCCAGAAGTCCTACCCTCAGGTCAGCTGTCATTACTCAGCAGCACAGCAGAGGGAGGACTCTCCGGTCCCATGAAGTTGCCCTTGGGAAAGACCTTGAATGCCCCTGCAGTCCAGAGAGGAGGGAGCTATGGGAAGGAGGCAGCAGGTGCAAAGGCCCTGGGTTGGAAAGGGCTCCTTGGAGCACAGTGAGCAAGAGGGGGAGATGAGAGGTGAGGCTGAAGAAGTGGATAGGGGCCTGGCTGCACAGGGTTTTGAGGGCCATGAAGGCGTTTTTTCGGAAATCAGAGGACTGGACAGAGACATGGGGAGGCCCAAGACAGCAGCCAGTGCATTTTGCCTTCATTTGAAAGATAAGCTATTTCAGGAGAGAGCCGGGCTCTGCTCACTGTTCCTGATCACACTTCCCCTCCCTGTCCTGGCCCTGTCCCTAGCTCGTCCTTCCTTTAGGCCCTTGACTGCACCTGAGCCACTTCCCCATCCCCTGGAATCCTCAGAGGCGGTGCCTGCCGAGTGGCCCTGACAATCTCATTAGCGTGGCATCAGGGGACAGTCCTAATCAGCTTACCCAGCCGCAGGATAAATGCCAGGCTTACCCTTGGTGAGGGAGGCCCGCCACTCACACCCATGGCCGCCTGAGACCTGCCCATTGCTTGGTGAGTATCAATCTCCCCCAGGTACCTTTCCTGGTGGCCACTTACCCACGGGTGTTAGTGGGCATCTGCCCAGAGGGTGGGAAGCTGGTGGGCTTTTCACCGTCACACTGAGGCCTGGGTCTGTGAGAGTTCACCCACCGCTGTGGTCAGAGAGGACGCCCAGCCAATCACCTCCACTCCCCCAAGTTAAACAGTGCTACAGACTGTCCCCAAGGCCAGCAGTGGTCTGGGAGTCTCAGGCCACACATGCTCAGTCAACTTGAGGGGGCACTGGCAGTAGGCGTGGCTGGGGCCAGGGAGGCTCAAGCAGTGGGTGGTTTCTGTGGGGACAGCATCTGCTACTTGGAGCTCCATCAGGGCTCAGAGCTGTCCATGCCAGGCCCATGGCCCAGGACTGGGGAAGGGATCTGGCTGGGCCTGCACTGTCAGGGCTGTGAGGAGTGGGTATTGGGGTCTGAGCAGCCAGAACCCCCAGGCCTGCTGCCGTCTGCCTTGGGCCTCCTGGGCTGGTGCTGGTCCCAGCACAGAGGCTGAACCTTAGGGAGGGAAGGTCCATGGCAGGTGTACCCCAATCCCAGGTGCCCAGCATCCATCACCGAGCCTTCCCTGCCAGTGGGACCACCTGTCCTTGCCTCTCACTTAGTCTCGCCCTGGTGCTCTAGTAGGCAGCTGTCGGCAGCCCAAGGCTGGACTCCGGCATTGCAGCCCACCAGACAGAGGGCAAGAAAGGGGACCCAAGAGACAGTGCCTGGGGCATGCAGTGTGGGGACAGCACTCCTGTCTGTGTCACATGCTTATCCCAAGAACCTTCTGGGCCCCAGTGGCCATGAGGGATTAGTCTTCTGCTGCTAATAAGCTTAGAGGAAACCAAGCTGGCGCTGACCTTGGCCAGGGTCATTGGGGCTTAGGGCATTTGGGGAGAGGCTCAGGAGGAGAGGAGAGGAGGTCACTTGTGCAGTGGTACAAGGACACCAGCAGGTGACACTGGCACCCAGAGCGGGTTCCAAGCACAGTGAGCAGCTGGGAAGACACTGCCAGGTGAAAGTGTCACAGTTCAATTCGGTATCATGCTGAGACAGGCCCCTTCCCTGCCCGGGCATCCCTCCCCCGTCTCTCAGATCCCCTGTCTTGGGCACTCCTGGGTGTCCAACATGGGCATGCCACCATGAACAAGACAGCACGTCCCAGCTCCAGGGATAGAGGAGGGGTGTACTGGGGGGCCTCCAGCACTCTCATTCCCCTGCTTGGCCCCAGTGGAGCCCTACGTGGAGATGGCAGGGTCTGCTGTCCAAGTCATGCTGAGGGCCCCCTGGGTCTCACATTTTGGGGTTTCCTCTTGTGGGTTGAGACCTATGAGGAAGGTTGGGAGCAGGAGGCCTGACTGGGACCCCCGCCTGGTCTGCCCTCAGCCCACAGAGAGAGGGAGTCCAGAAGCCAAAGGTCGCCACAGGGGCTCTGCCAGTCTGGCCATGAATCTGGAGCCACCCAAGACCGAGATCCGGTCGGCCACCAGGGTGACTGGGGGGCCCGTCACTCCCAGGAAAGGGCCCCCCAAATTTAAGCAGCGGCAAACCAGGCAGTTCAAGAGCAAGCCCCCCAAGAAAGGCATCCAAGGGTAAGCAGAGCTTGGGAAGGGGCGCCTCTCTGAGGGATGGAGGGGCCCAGCCCTAGGCTGCACAGGAGGGAGGCAGGGGCTGGGGGGCCTTAGCCACCCTTTTCTGGCTGAGGGTGGTCCCATTGTCCTCGAATGGGGTTCCGGAGAGCCTGAGTAGGGCCTGTCTCAGAGCCCCCCACTCCTCAGCATGGGGTAGGGCAGGGGTGCGGGGGCCCCAGTTCTTCTCTCTAGCACTTATCGCCAAATGGGTTTGGAAAGCACACTCACTGTCAGCTAGAGGCTCAGTCACAACCCACTGACATGGGTCCCTGCACCCCCCACCCACAGCCCCACAGGTACACACCAGGGCACACCCACAGACACTCCACACTCAGAAACCTGCACTCAAGGGAAGACATATCCCCACACACCCCACTCCACTCTCATCATGGCCACCGACCTGACCACTGTGTCCTTGCAGGTTTGGGGACGACATCCCTGGAATGGAAGGCCTAGGAACAGGTATGGCGATGCTAGGATCCACCAAGTCCCCCCACTCCCCTGCCCACAGTGTGAAGGGGCCCAGCTCTCCCACTTTCCCCAGGTCAAGGCTCACTTAGGGACACCCCTAGCCTGTCCATTTTCTCCCCAATGGGGTCCCCCTGAAGTGGGGTCGTTCCCACACAGTGGCTTCACCAGGTGCTTGGAGGGGCTGGGAAAGAAAGGAGCCCTTGCTGCTCCCTCCCTTGGGCCTACTGCATCCACTGTCTTCCTGGGTGGGTGCTCACTCAATACCCCTAAAGCTGGTTTGTCCTGGAAGGAGGGTTTTCACCACTCAGGGTGTGGATAACAGGGTCCTAAGGGGACGGTGGGGCCATGAGACCTTCTGGACATACTGGCCCTTTTCTCACAGACATCACGGTCATCTGCCCATGGGAGGCCTTCAACCACCTGGAACTGCATGAGCTGGCCCAATACGGCATCATCTAGCACCCACCTGCCAGTCCCGGACCCACCCCGCTGCCCGCCTGACCCGCCCCTCAGGATTCCTGCAAGGAGGCCCACCCCGCAGCTGAGGGCATCAGGATTGTGCAGATTGTGTGGGGAGACCTTCAAAGGGCAGTGACCTCAGGACCCTTGACACCAGGAGCCCACCACCTCCCAATAGGGTGCCCTTCCGGGGCTGGCCAGGCCCTGCTTGACTTGCCAAGAGATGGTCAGACCCTCTCCTCCTGTGGCTGGAAAACCAGGGCAGGACCTCCCAGGAGTGTCCCGCACACGCCGGCCCCTTGTCCTGCCTATCCCAACGTGAGGACAAGCTACCCCCAACTAGCCATTCCCAGCTGGTGCCACTGAGTCAGCATGGTAGGTGGCAGGAGTCCTGGGGGCATCAGTGAGAGAGCAGGGCCTCCCCAAACCCACCACGCCTGTGGGAAGCTTGTCTTTTCCAGCATGGCCACGCTTGTTGTCCCTGTTTCAAAATAAAATCACGCCCCCACTCGCTCGCCTGCCATGTGTTGGGAGTGGAAACAGAGCCCGAGGGTGTAGGTCGCTTCTGCAGGGTGGTGGGGGCAGCAGCAGCCCAGCCAGGCCAAGAGGGAAGAAAACCCTTCAGGCGCTCAGCATGGACCTGTGACGGCTGGGTCACACAAGGCCATAGGACTCGGGCAAGGCAGGTGGCCGAATGCACTCGCAGCAGCCAGAGCAGGCCTCACTGAGGAGGTGGACTTGGTGAGGGCCCACAACAGCTTGCACCACCTCACAGGGCAGGAAGCAGGTGCAGAGGCATTGGGTAATTCACCCAGTGGCCCGGCCAGCCCATCCCTTAGTGTCCCCTAGAGCTGGACAGGCTGGCACCGTTGTGACCCAGCAATTTCCCTCCTGACACCACACCCAGGAGAACCAGGCGCCCGCACAGACAGGGACCTGTGCCGAGCTGTCTCCAGCGACAGCCATCGTCTAGAAGCCACCTAGTGCACGTCCACACAGACCAGGTTCAGTGACCAGACGGTGACTCTCAGGAAGGCCCCTCTGTGACCCCATTTATGTCACATTCAGAAAAGGCCACCCTAAAGAAAGGCGATGAAGCCCAAGCAGGGGTGACAGCAGGGAAAGGGAAAGGGAGTGTGGGGCTGGATCTTGATCCAAAGGTGGGTTCACAGGGGTTTAGACAGGTAAGAATCCCTCACGCTGCCCATTTAAGATCAGTGCAATTTACTGTATGAATGACACATCTCAACAAAATTTACTCCCTCCCCAAAAAAGCCCCCTAGAGGGAGAGGCCTGGGCTTCAGCCTCAACCACCACAATGGACGGGAGAGGAGGAGATGGCTACAGAGGAGGCCAGGTGGCAGGCTGTGGTGCAGCCCTGGGGCCTCAGGGGGGCGGCTGGTGGGGGTGGTCAGAGGTGGTTGGGGATTAGGGTCTGAGGACGGCCTCAGAGGCAACTGTCAGACATGGACATTTGAGCCAGAGGTGGACATAGTAGGGGGCTGTTAGCCAGGGCCTGGGAGGCTGGGGTCCAGGAGGGGTGGGAGGTGGGGGGTCTGAGGCTGGGCCTTGGAGGCAGGGCTAGGAAGTGGTCGCATGTGGGGGTCAGAGGTGTGTGGCGGGAGTCTGAGTGGGAGGCTGGGCAGCAGGATTTCATTCAGCCCCTAGCCCTCCGGCCCCGTGGCCTCCCGGGCACCCTCAGTGGCTGCCAGGCTGCGCCCGTGGGGATCTGGAGATGGGCCTGCACTCTGACCGCAGCAGTTTGCAAGGTTGGGGGCACTGGCAGTAGATGGTCCCAGGGGCGGAAGCCTCTGAAAGAGCGAAATGAGGGAACTGGCAGAATGGGGCAGGAAGCGGGTGGCCCGGCCCTCGGGAAGGGGAGCCCTGGGGGGCAGAGGCGCAGCAGGTGGAGCCGGCCAGCTGTCCGTGCTGCACGTCCCCCGCTGCCGGCCAGCCGCGGCTGGCTTGTCCAGGGACCCAGCGCGGGGTCCGAAGCTCTCGGCCACCCCCTTGCGGACAGCCAGGGTCCTCAGCAGCTGCGCGGCCAGCAGGAGTTCGGCCCCCTGGACCAGCGCCACGGCGATGGCAAAGCCGCCGGCCGCCCGGACGTTCCTGCGCAGCCACCGGCGGAGCGGTGCGCCACAGCCCTCCAGGTGCACCACTCTCCCAGCCGCACCCTCATCCAGGCCCAGGGCCCCGAAGCCGCACTGGTCGTTGATGGAGGCTCCGTCTTCCTGGGGGTCGATGCAGCAGGAGGCAGGAAGGCTGCAGGCCTGGACCCCCGGGGAGCTGCAGTTA